TCTCCGAAATACTCAAAATTTCCACTACCGGTTCTCCAGAACTGGTCAGAACCTGTTGAATAACACCTCTGTGGCACATGCTATCTGTTGCCGTCTTTTCAATTCTGGCTTTGTATGCATTTGTCCTTAAGGCTGGATCTTATGCAGTCAGAATTAGTCCCTTGGACTTTTTCTTCAACTTTCATGCTCTTAATCATTGCCAGGTCTTATTATTATCTGCTTTCCCTGCTCTTTTTAAAAATGAATTGACCATGTAGTGCTTTGTCTTCCCATGCCTCCAATTTGTTCTTCATTTGGTCTTTTCTTGTAGGCCATTTTGGTTAGTCAGTTAGCCTTCCTGCCATACTAACTTCAGTGCATCTTCTTCATTGTCCTTCAGATATTCTTCCAAAGCCCGTTCTTCTTCTTCAATCATTTGATGTACTTGCAACATTCCACCCCACCTTTTTGCTTTGGTAGGTAGAGTCTGTCAATGTCGCTGCGAGGATGAAAAGCATGATTCATTGTCATTATTTTTCTGGCCTTCCTATCCATTGCATTTAGTACTGCTTGAGTCCAGTCCACTATTCCTGCTGTGTATCTAAAGATTGGAATTGCCCAGGTGTTGATTGCCTTGATAACATTTTCTTCATTGACTCCATTGAGTTTGGATTCCATTGAGATCTTCTTCACTCTCTTGATGTATTGATCTCTAATCTTTTTCTTGACTTCAGTGGGCTTGATATTGTCAGCTTGAAGGATACCCAGGTAATATCTTCATGCAGACTCTGGGGCATCTTGATTCCTTCAGTTTTCACCATTTTTCCTTGTCTGATAGTAAGTGTGGCACATTTGTCCAATCCAAACTCCAAAATCTGTAATATTTTGGCTATATATGTAAACGGTGTTGAGCAGTGATTCTGTTTCAGATGGTGTTTCTCCATATGGATTCAGATTGTTCATGTAAAGGAGGCGGGACAGTCTGGCAGATGATGATGATGATAATTACTATTATTGTTGTTGTTGTTGTATTCACATTAAAAAACTATAAAAGGCAGCTAAAATATAATAGACGAATGAATGTTAACAATAATGGAACTATCATAATACCTACTAGTTCTGTGGGATCCCCAGGCTTGATGGCAAAACCAAATCTTAAAGGGCATTTGGAAAGTATGAGCAGCCTAAACTTGGGGGAGGATATTCTACAACCATAGTGTCATTGACAAGAAGGTTCATTGCCTAGTCCCAAAATGACAGAACTTGCAGCATACCTTCTCTACTAGATTTGGTGGGATAGAAGGATGTAACTGGGTAAAGTTTTATCCCTCTAATAACCTGGTCCCATGTACGGCTTTAAAGGTCAAGGCTAGCACATTGAATTGGATCTGAAAATAAATTACCAACAGAGGTGGTAAATTACCAGCAGAGGTGTAACTTGTATTCTACAAGGAGCACAAATAACTGCCTGCATCATTCTATTTTGAAGTTTCTGGGTGGTCTTCAATGGCAGTCCCATGTAGAGTGCATTACAATAGTCCAACTGGGATATGACTAGGGCATGAGTGACCATGAGAAGGGCCTCTCGATCTAGGAATGGGAGCAACTGGCATGCAATATGAAGTTGTGCAAAGGGCCCTCTAATGACGATTACTATCTCCTCCAGAAATCCAGAAGGACACTAGATTGAGAATGGAATCTGTTTGGGGCAATGTAACACCATTCAGATGATATAGTCCCAGAACTGGATAGTCCTTAAACCTAAAACTACTCCATATTGCCAAAGTTCAGTTGAAGTCTGTTGTTCCCCATCCAGACCCTCACAGCTTCCAGACACTGGGATAAGGCATCCACAGTATTGCTTAATTCACCATGTGTGAAGATATACAATTGTGTATCAGCATATTGGTGATACCACATGACAATTAACTCATCCAGGGGCTTTAAATGTTTAACATTTAACATTCTTTAAATATTAAATAGGGGAAAAGAAAGCACCAACCCCTGTGGCAACCCACATAATACGGGCAAAGATGGGGATCTGTTTTCCTCAAACAACCACTGACTGGAATCAATCCTTGAGAAAGGAGGTGAGCTACCACATCACAATGCCACCCACCCTCAATCCTCTAAGTCCATGCTGGCGAACCTATGGCACATGAGAGGGGTTGTTTTTGCCCTCCCCAGGCTCCTAGAAAGCCTCTGGAGTCTGGGGAAGGTGAAAAAACTGTGCCAAAAGCTGGGGGGGGGGGCTGGTTGCGCGCATAGCATTATGGATGTGGCACACCCGTGCATGACACTGCACTTCCCCTGCTTTTGGCACGGGAGCCAAAAAAGGTTACCCATCGCTGCTCTAAGTCTATCCACAAAAATACCATAGTCGATGGTATCAAAAGCTGACAAGAGATCAAGACATGGCAAAGGCTAGATGCAGAACCCCCATTCTGCCCATATCAGATATCAACTAAAAGTACAACCAATGCAGTTTTCATTCCATACCCCGGTTTAAACCCTGATTAAAAAGGATCCAAATATTCCACTTTATCCAAGGCCTTCTGGAGTTGCTGCACAACTAATTTCTCAATCAACTTTGCCTCAAAGATGATATTGGATACTGGATGAAAATTGAGAGACCGCCTGCTGCCAATTACCTCCCACAGACCCATTAGTTCTCACAGGGTTGGCCTCCTCCGAGTGCCATCTACTAGCCAATGCCACCTGGCTATTACCCGGGGGAGGGCCTTCTCTGTGGCAGCTCCGGCCCTCTGGAATGAACTCCCCGCAGGGATTCGGACGCTCACCTTTCTCCAGGCCTTCCGAAAAGCCATCAAAACCTGGCTTTGCTGGCAGGCCTGGGGGTGATGAGTTCCCTCCCCTCTCGACATGTATGGTTGTGCGACTGTTGTCTACTTTTATTATTTGTATTTTGTCTTTTTATGTTCCCCTTTTTCCCCCTTGAATTGTTCGCCACCCTGAGTCCTCCCGGAGAAGGGCGGCATACAAATAATAAAATACAAATACAAATACAGTATTGTGGAGTCCAGCAATGCTTTCTCAAGGAGGTGGCATACCAGAGCCTCCTTAAGACATACAGGAACCTTCTCACTCAAGAATTCACCACCGTTAAAATCCACTCACACACCATCCAAAGCTTAGGGACATGGATTTAAAGACCAAATGGCTGAGCTCACAATCCTAAGGACCCATCAGCACTAACAGATCCAAATCTTTTCCAGATTACCAAGCAAGACTTTGCCTCAGATATTTATCTGGAATTTCAACAAAGACAGTATCCCACTGTGAGTGAATTCAAGTGACTTTTACTGTCACAAAGTTGGGTTTAACCCATGTTTACCCAAATACGTCCCCAGTAGAGTACCAGCAATGCCTAGACTTCTCTTGCTTCAAATCCCTAAACTATGGGAAGTGATGGGTTCCACAAGAGGTAACATAGATTGCACATAGGTGCAATCAGATCCGGAGCTTCAGATGCCACCCTGTTCCAAGTGGTGATCAAGCCTTCAGATGTAGCAAACCAACAAGAACTCCAAAACTCCCCCAAAACTAACCTGAGTTTATTAATTTGCCAGAGGCAAATCAATGTATGTATGTTCTATACAGGTAGTCCTCAACTTACAACAGTTGATTTAGTGCCTGTTCAAAGTTACAACAGCACTGAAAAAAGTGACATTACAATGTAATGGCCCCATGATCATGTGACCAAAATTCAGTTGCTTGGCAACTGGTTCATACTTTTCACCATTGCATGAATTTATGCAACCTTCTGACAAGCAAAATCAATGGGGAAGTCAATGTGGATTCACTTAACAATCAGGTTACTAACATCAACTCACTTAACAAATGTCTCACTTCACAACAGAAATTTTGGGCTCAATTTTGATTGTAAGTCAAGGACTACCTGTATTGAAGTTAACTGGACTGGAAGATGAGCAAGTTTTAAACTGGAAGAAAAAGTATTAATAACTATACTATGCTGAAGACGCTACTCAAAAGTTGCAAATACAAATGATCTGCAAATTCTATTAATGGAATTCAAGAAGCACAAAAAATCCCCAAATGTTAAATAGAAAGAAAACCAAAATTAATATATGGCATCAGGTATAACTATCAGTATTAGAACTGAAAATTAAGATATGAAGTGGTGGATAGCTTTTATTTTTTAGGATTGACTATCAATAGTGGGGCTGGGAGTCATATCAGCACCTGCAGTTTAGCAATAAAGATACTCATAGAAAGATACTCAAACACCATGTTGTGTCTACACTTACAAAAATCAGATTGTGTATATAATGGTTTTTTTTTTGACATCCTATGGAAGTAAAAACATGGACTTCAAAAAAAGAGGATATAAAAAGTATTGATGCTTTTGAATTTTGGGATTTAAGAATACCTATACTATAGATAACTAGGCAAACAAATAAAGGAATTATAGAACTAATCAATCCAGAGTTTTTAATTTGAGCAACAATGCTCATAGCTCAAATTATCATATTTTGGACATGTAATGTGAAGTCCTAGCTTTCTTGAGAAGTGTGTGGTGCTGGGAGAGAAGAGGGAAGAAAAGAGAAGAAAACAAACAGCAGCAAGATGGATGGACTTGATTACAATACTGCTAAGTATAACACTGAATGTATTGAAGAGCCAATTTGGGGATAGATCATTGTGGAGAAGGTCTATTTATATGGTTACTGAGAGTCAACACCAATTTGATGGCGTCTGTATTCATGTTTGCACATCACTTGTGGACCACCTACTCCATATGGATATGTACAGATTGATAAGCAATTCATCACCCATTAAGCACTTTAATTTTCTGTCAGACCTACTTTGGAACCTTTAATTAGACTTTTAATTTAACAATTATCTTGCTTTAATGTGTCATATTTTCACAAAATTCATCATAAAATATATAACCTGCAATTCTTTCCATATTGAACATAATGAAATATCTTTCTGAGTATTCTGAGTATTTGATTATTAAGGGAGTTTACACCTCTTACTTTGTGGAAGGTTTTGAACTTCCTACTTGTCCATGTTCATCTTGCTTTAATCCCGCAAGGAGTGCATCTCGTGAGCAATGCTTATCCTGTTTCAGAAAGAGAAAGTAGTATTAAATCATACTGGAATTAATTAAGTCTGACTGGTGAACTTGTATAACCACTAGGGATTATACACATCCAAATGAATGAATGGAGACTGTACCTGAATGGACAGCATCATAGGAGATTCTGTAAACTGTCCAGTCAATATAGATAATCAGCAACATAAATCAAAGAGAGTGAATTTTTAAAAATCATTTTGTAGGTTAATAATACACATAGCTTTGTTATTTTACTGAAAAATTAAAATAATAGGAATCAGATGATTTTGGAAAACAATCTTCTAGTTAATTGCAGAATACTTAAAAACCCTGCATTTACTGAATATATTTGATATATTAAGTCACTATTACCAGTTTAAAAAATTTAGATACAACTATATTTTACTTTCATATCAAAAGGAACTGACTGTCCAATTGTATAGATCTCAATAAAGTCAAAGGAGACTACTGTCAGGTAAGTGGGAGCACATTCAGAGAGATGTAATAGCATTCATATCTTCAGCACAAGCTTTTATTAATAATAAATTATCAATTGTAATTAGACTCTATTCTTATAGTTAAATTTTTAACCATTAACACTCTTTTAATATTTTTTTAAATCTTGTGCTTGCTTTGATTCTCTATACAGCATTTCCTCTCTACTAGTCTAGAAATTCAAAATGAAAATCTCATTCCAGAGATTCCACTGGTGTACAAAACATATACATAACTCTAAAGACTTACATAATAGTATGTCTTACAATAATTTTGTCTTATTTTCACCATCAAAGCATTGTATTTGTCAGGCCGGCAGTCATATTCCTTTTAGGATCTTTGGCCTGCCACAGTCTCTATTATTTTTCTATGCTGTTTCATTAGTGGGGTAAATGGGAGGGGGAATAGTAAGGAGTAGAAATGTAGAATGTGTTGTTGTCAAAATATAACATTCCTTTCTAGAAGCCCAAGGTCATCCTTTGTCTCTGCCCGTCTGCAGCTGACTGGAACTAGCTGGGTGGAAATGCCAGCGTGGCAGAGGAAGATTGGACCATGTGATGGACTTGTGGGTTTGGGGACAAGGTTTTGAACTTTCAAGTGGGGGAAACCCAGGAAGCTTTCAGATTCGGGTTTTCTACAGATGTACCAACATGTCTCTTTTACTAAATTGGAACTTTGATGAAAGCTATGCCTTGAACTCTGATTTAATTCTGGATGATATTTGGAATGCTGACAGTATGATTAATAGAATTGATCGAGAAATCCAATACTTCATTTTATTAATCAATTAATTCCTTTTGACATTGTTCCTAGGCAGCAATTACCATGTCATGGACCAGTAGGCTACTTTTAGTTTATTTCGAACTCTTTCTAGATATTTATTGAGACTCAGATGTTTATTATTCCTATTTCTAAAAATAAGAAGCTCAATAAAATTTTATACCAAATGGATTCGATAGGAAGTTCTCCAGCTGGACAAACGTG